GAGGGGGAAGGTAGGGATGGAACTCTCAATCAGCAAGCTGATAAACCGTGTGATAGTCCAGCCTCATTCAGAAAACATGGCTGCAGGCTCTGCCTTTTGGGGGCACGGTGCCTTCCCTAGGAAGCAGAGAATTGGAGAGTGCTGCACATCTTCACACCTGGGTCTCTGTGGCTGGATCTCATGGACTAAGACCCCCCGGAGACGCGTGAATGGCTGCGGCAGTCTGGGGACCCAGCTGGTGCTAGCTGGTCACAGAACGCAGTCAGGTGGACAAGCGCCCAGGGGTGCAGACCAGCACCGACACCGAGTCTACACTGCCCAGGGCGAGACCAGCCCAGCCTGGTGGAGCACACATATCATCAGTCCTCGGGAAAGAGGAGGATCTTTGCTGCACGTGTGTGGAGCTGGGGGCCACACATGGACCCAGTGACTCCTGTCTCCTGAACAGACAGCTGAGAAGCTGGCCAACGCTCTGTCCTCAAGTCCTGATGATGGGCTTTCTTTGTGTGTGTGCAGGTCCTGGAACTTGAACTCTGGGCCAGGGTGCTGTCCCTGACCCTTTTTGCTCATGGCTGGCGCTCTACCACTTGAGCCACAGCGCCACTTAGGCTTTTTTTTTGGTCAGTCGTCAGGCCTGAACTCTGGGCCTGGGCACTGTCCCTCAGCTCCTCAGCTCAAGGCTAGCCCTCTACCGCTTGAGCCACAGCGCCACTTCCAGCTTTTTCTGCTTCTGTGGTGCTGAGGAATCAAGCTGAGGGCCTCATGCATGGGAGGCCAGTGCTGTACCGCTGAGCCACCTTCCCGGCCCCTTTTAGGCTTTTTGAGATTAATTGGTGATAAGGGTCTCACAGACTTTCCTTTCCTGGGCTGTTTTTGACCCACAATCCTCAGATCTCTGCCTCTTCTGTAGCAAGGATTACAGGTGTGAGCCACGGGCTCCTGACTTGACTGTCTTTCTTAATGAACAACTCTTATTGAAGTTAACAAACATCATCCACTCTTACCTGGTAAATCTGCTTATTGCCAAAGTTTTAGCCCAGAGAAGTCACAACTCTGGTGATTCTTCTCTATCAAGTCTATTCTATCACACCAGCAATTCCAGACAACCACTTAATCATGTAAACCCCTTCTAATTGACCTGCACATTCCTCTCGCCCAGAATGTCCTGGGTTGCGGTATTTACAGCCTCTTGTGCCTCTCTTCCCCTCCCCAGGGGAGTGGCTGAGGCTGAGAGAAGGCGCCTGGGATAGTGAGAATGTGAGAAGCCACCGTGAAGAGGGCCTGGGCGAGGCCAGCTGGGCTGCTCCACCAGGACAAGCAGCGTCTGCCAGTGCGCAGCGTCTGGGCACTGGAAAGCGGCCATCCAGAGAAGCCTGGCACCGAGCAGAGCCGCAGCTGCCTCTGGAGATGCACACTTCAAGAGGGAATCAATGACCACCATGCACGTTATGCACATACAGAAATGTCCTAATGAAACCCTAGTACCACCAATGTACATGAATAAAAATGCAGCCCGTGTTTCTTCAAAAAATGTATATGCAGAAAATTAAATTCCATTATAGTTCATAATTTCCATCTAAAAACATGTTTAAGAAACTTTGCCAGGCAGTCACTCCACGAGGCCAATCACTGCTGGGCGAAATTCACTGAGCCAGTTTTCTCCGGTGGGCATGGACAGAGTCTGGCCTAGGAAGCAGGCAAAGGTAGGGGCAGGAAACCCAGTCAGCACCAAGACTGGGCTCCAGACAGGGCAGGCGCCTGGGCCGGAGGCTGGCTACAACTACAGGACGTGTCACCGGATATCCACACAGGTCTATCACAGGAACCACCGCCCGGGACCGCCTCCCGGGACAAGCCCCCGCTATCTGCATACCACATCACAGGACGCCTGCACAGGGCAACTTGACTCCAGCACAGGGAAACCCTGTCGGAAGCCAGGGCTGCCGACCCCTGCCCTGGATAAACGTCGTTAGCTGTGCCTGGGTGCCCTTCCTACCCAGATCAACTCCAGGGCCTAGGCTGGAATGAGCTCTAAAGGCGGCTGTGGTGGGGGTGTAGAACGGTGGGCAACGCTCTGGGCACGAGGCCCGGGACCATGTGCCCACCATGCTCACACGGCTTTTCCGTACAGCCCCGCCGCTGCCGTCAGCGCCTCTGGGACCCTGGCTCGCTCTTTCTCCACGCTCCTCTGGGCTGTCCTCCAGTAGTTTATCCCCATCTTGTCTTGATGGGAAACAGTAGCCCTGAGCGTTCATCTGAAGAATTCTCCCACTACCCGGAGCGCTTGTCCAACCCCAGATTCCTTTGGCGCCCGCCAAAGAGTCCGCTCTTCCTCCTGCTCCTGCCTGTGCAGCAGTTAAACGCATCCAGAGCCCACAGTTCTCCTCTCCCTTCCATTTCCTGAAACCTCCAAGCGTAGAGGCCACAACAAATGAGACTAATTTCCAGACTTTCTGTATTTGGTGTGTCGCTTACTAGGTATAGCACACTTGTGACATTGGGCAGAAATGTCACTGAGTAATAAATGAACATGCACCTACTAGGGGATGTGTCTAATGTATTTTGATGTCCATGGGCAGTGTGGAGCAAGGTTTACTTCCCCAGCCTTAGGAGGATGGATCTGATCTCTCTGCAGAGCTGAAGGGAGGAGTCTGGGGATGAGGGCTGCAGGCTTGGGAGGCGTGCCAGGGCCACAGATGCAGGCCAAGGTGCGCCTTTGTGAACACCCAGGGTGATGGGAAACACGCGGCAGAATGAATCAGCAGCCTTGGAGTCCACTGGTCCTTACGGCTCATGGCCCTCTTTGGGAAGAAGTGTCCACAGGGACACACCGCCAGAGCCACCACCCCGAGGACGAACCACAGCCGCTCAGACTGCAGGGTCCAGGATGGCGCAGCAATGTTCTGTTGTTTTTCCTACAACCGCTCCCAGCCAGACAACACCGCCTTTCAACAAATTGCAAGTTTTACCTGCCACTTCAGTAAGGAGCATGATTTGCATATTTTCCCAAAGTTAAGGGCAGGGAAAGGCTCAGCAGACCACACCAAGATGTAAACAAAACTAACAGTAACTCAGGGCTGACTGAGAGCTCGGATCAACCAAGCCGCACAGCGCGTGTGCAGGAACTTAAAGTTCTATTGGTTTTGAAATTTTATTTATCTGCATGTGGTCAAAACTATGTATACTAGGAGACAGCAAAGAAGGGGTGAAATTGTCCAAAAGAAATGTACTCTTTACCTGACTTATGAAAGTGTGACCCCTCTGTACATCACCTTTATAATAATAAACATTAAATATATACATATTATCCATCCATGAATAAGGCAAACTTACTCTATCATGAGGAGGGCGTAGAACGTGAGCAATGCAGCCTCCCAGAGCTCAGTGGATCCACTGGAACAGCTGAACCACAGCAAAGAGGGCCAGATTCTGAGTAAAGACATCTTGAATTATAAAGGTATTTTGTATTCGTGTATTATATTATTGGGAGACTATTCAGAAAACAGACACCCTGGCCCTGGGGGTATGAGAATTGCAGAGCACAGTGTAGATCTCAGCAAGTTTAAGTTCTAAGACAATCTCTAGCAAGAAGAAAGCAGCAGCACCAAGGGCTGCCTTCGGTCTCTGTGCTAAATTCCAGTTCTGGAAAAGAGAAGACAGATGTCTGTGGACGAGCCACACAGGCTGCCCCTCGTGACCACGCATTCACCAATGGCCAGGCTGCGGCCTGTGGCTGTGGCCACTCTGTCCCCAGCCACACAGGCCCAGGTTGACAGACAGCTCTGGGCCCCAGGGGTTTACAGGGACGCCAGCGGTCTGTTCCCTCTCATTGCCTGAACTGGGCTCTGCCTGGCTCCGACAGAACCTCCCACCTGAGACGGGAGGCATTCGTGATCAGGACAGAACAGAACTCCCGCCTCTCCTGGGTGACTTCAGAGAGCTTCTGGGCGAGTTCAGAAGCCACTGGGTCACATAACTTGTCAGGAGTTGTTTCTCCTGATCATTTGAAGAAGAACACGATTGCTGGCTGAAATGGGACAGCAACAAACATCGGCTATGCACTTTCCATCCTCCCACTGGGAATCTCACGGCGGGCCCTTGTTGCTCACAGCTTGGCCTTCCTGCGATGTCGGGGCGCAGCGGGCTCTGTCCCACGGCTCCCCCTGCTTCTTTACCAGCCAGTCACCCAAGAGCACACCCGGGCCTCGGCCCCCTCCTTAACCCCACCCCCACCCCGCTTACCAGCTTAGCTCTGGATTAAACAATCGCCGGTGTGATGGACGTCGTTTGTCCTTATTGTTGTGGGATTTTCCTGGCTTCTCACAAACACTGACTGGGCCTGTGCTCTACAATAAATGCACTGTGTTACCATTCCTGACACTCCGACTCTGCCATCGAGGAGGCCGGGCCTTTGAAGGTGACCTAGATGTGCCCGGGGATTCCTTACATGCTTCAACGTTTACTCCAGACAGCATCTGGCATTGCAAACACAACACTAGAGATTTGACTGGAGTGTTTCACCTTTTGCTATAAAAAGAAAAATTGATCCCTGGTCATTTTAAAAGCCGAGTCCAAGCCCTAGAACTGGCAAAAAAAAAAAAAAAAAGCTAAGAAAGCTGTTTAGAGCAAATGCAGGGTTAATGAACCAGGATTACAAGTGTGTGTGGGCATTCACAAGTGAAGGCTGTGCATGGGTGTTTGTCTGCATTGTGTGAACTCACATATAGAGCTGAGTGTGTGTGTGTGTGCGTACACAAGTAGAGGCTGTGCATGTGTGCTTCGTTCATGTAGAGCTGTGCATGTGTGCATATGTGCTAATGTACTGCTAATGTGCTGCATTGTGAACCCGTATGCAGAGCTGTGCATGTGTGTGCATGCATGCGTGTGTAAGTGCATGTCTGCTGTGTGCATTGTGTACACTCACGTGTAGAGCTGTGTGTGTATGTGTGCTCATGCACTGTGTATGTGTGCTAGATTGTGTGAACTCATATGTAGCCTGTGTGTGTGTATGTCTGATGTGTGCGCTGTGTGGGCTCACATGTACTATGTACGTGAGCAGGTGTGCATGCATGCTAAGAGGGATCAGAGCAAAGTCCTCAGGAGGGACTTCAAGTGTTCAGGAAAGGGGTCGATTCCTCAGCACCACATAAGGAGAAAAAGCCAGAAGTGGCGCTGTGGTTCAAGTGGTCGAGCGCTCGCCTTGAGCTGTAGAGCTGAGGGACAGCGCCCAGGCCCAGAGTTCAGGCCCCATGACTGACAAAAGTAATAATAAATAAATAAGTGTTCAGGGAAGGGGAGGTAGGCCATGTGACTCAGGAATACATTTTTCTGAAGACAACAGGAAATCTGTCAAGTCTAGGGAGTGACAAGATCCAATCGGAAGCTGCAGGGTGCTCAGTGGTTAATGCGTCCTGTGTTTGTCAGAGAGGATCTGTGCTCAGAACACCGGTTCTGCCGATACCGAGGCCACCCCCGCCGAGCAGGCTTCCCAGGGATCCGCAGGAGCAGCTGCGGAGACAACAATCCAGGCAAAAGGTTGGGAAGCTGGAGACGCACAGACAAGGTTGGACACTTTCCCTGGAGCCCTTGTCTACCCCTGGGGCTACCTAGAGTCAGGCTTCGCTCAGCTGGGCTGGGCCCTGGCCGGCCAAACACGCCGGCCAAGGCTCCATGTCCCAGCGGCCCGACTCCAGCTACCTGGATGAAGGCAGGGCCATGTCAGGCTGGGACCCAGCTTGTCCGGGCTCTGCCATCTACTAGCTCATGTGACCCAGGACAAGACACACAGCCCGAGCACCAAGGGTCTCACTGAAACACGGGATACACCAGCTTTGGTGGCGTGAACTTGACGTAGGCACCAAGCACAGCTCTGAGCTCTCTCACAGGGGCTTGCTGTGTAACTCATCTGGGCCTCACAACCGTCTTGCAAGGCGGGGAAGGCCGACCTGTCTTTTGAGATGAAGCTTGCTCACAGGACTTCGTGCTGTGGGAGCTGGCACCTGCCCCAAGGTCCACTTCTGCAGTGCACATTTCTACACCATTCCTGCAGTGCACACCACTCCTGCAGTACACATTTACACACCACGCCTGCAGTGCACATTTACACACCACTCCTGCAGTGCACACCACTCCTGCAGTACACATTTACACACCACTCCTGCAGTGCACATTTACACACCACTCCTGCAGTGCACATTTCTACACCACTCCTGCAGTGCACATTTACACATCACTCCTGCATCACCCCTGCAGTGCACACCACTCCTGCAGTGCATTTACACACCACTCCTGCAGTGCACATTTACACACCACTCCTGCAGTGCACATTTACACACCACTCCTGCAGTGCACACCACTCCTGCAGTGCACATTTACACACCACTCCTGCAGTGCACATTTACACACCACTCCTGCAGTGCACATTTCTACACCACTCCTGCAGTGCACATTTACACATCACTCCTGCATCACCCCTGCAGTGCACACCACTCCTGCAGTGCACATTTACACACCACTCCTGCAGTGCACATTTACACACCACTCCTGCAGTGCACACCACTCCTGCAGTGCACATTTACACACCACTCCTGCAGTGCACATTTACACACCACTCCTGCAGTGCACATTTACACACCACTCCTGCAGTGCACATTTCTACACCACTCCTGCAGTGCACACCACTCCTGCAGTGCACATTTACACATCACTCCTGCAGTGCACATTTACACACCACTCCTGCAGTGCACATTTACACATCACTCCTGCAGTGCACATTTACACACCACTCCTGCAGTGCACATTTACACACCGCTCCTGCAGTGCACATTTCTATACCACTCCTGCAGTGCACACCACTCCTGCAGTGCACACTACTTCTCTTAGTTAATCTTTTTTTGTGTGTGTGTGGCTGAGGGGTCTGAACTCTGGGCCTGGGCGCTGTCCCTCAACTCTTCAGCTCAAGACGAGCACTCTACCACTTGAGCCACAGCGCCACTTCTGACTTTTGCTGCTTATGTGATGCTGAGGAACTGAACCCAGGGCCTCGTGCATGGGAGGCAAGCGCTCTACCACTGAGCCACCCGCCCAGCCCACACACCACTTCTCATACCAGCTCTGATGGATGAACGCGCATGGCTAAGAAAAGCTAATAAGCAAGCTCACAAGTGCTGCTGGAAAGTTGTCTGCATGGTCACATCACTCCGTGTGGTACAGGTTTCAAAATCTCCATGTCTCTCCATTCTCTCGCCCTCCTATATAAAGGTCAAGGCCCGCTAATGACAGGATGGTCCTCGCGTGTCACCCACGGCGGCAGGGCCGGGCCCCGGGTGAGAACAGGCGTGGCCCGGCAGGGAAGCCTCCTTAGCACAGCTCCCGGCCCCTCCGGGGGCCCTGCCCCGCGTGCTGGCCGCCCTGTCCACAGCGCGCCTCCTTCAGGCAGCCACATCCAATCGCACAGGGGCCGCCCCTGGCCAGACTCCCATCCACACCACGGCCACTCTGGGCCTCCACACACCTCTCCATAAGCCCACACCGCAAGAGGCGTGTAACTGCACGGTGTCCGCAAGCTGGATTCTCTAGGAAGTCTCCACGGCAGGGCTCCCCAGGGAGATTCCATTTCCAGTGCCAAAGGTTCACAAAGCAACTTGAGGAAATAAAAGCAGAACACAAGATGGGACCTGAAATGGGAAGCACAGGAAACAGCCTGTGCACACTCAGGAGACAACCCTCAGCGAACTGGGGCCAGCCAGATGGCCTGTGATGGAGAGGAGCGGGGGGAGGCGAGTCCCACGCAAGGCACCCCGGACATCCGGCTGGAAAGTTTCTGCACAGTGAAGGACACAGGCACGAAGCTGAAAACAGCCTAAACTCCAGGAGATCTTTGCAAGCTTTATGTCTGATAAGAACTAATATTCAAAATGAAGAATGAGGGCTGGGAAGGTGGTTCAGTGGTAGAGCACTTGCCTTGCATGCCTGAGGCCCTCGGTTCGATTCCTCAGCACCACATAAGCAAAAAGAGAAAAGCCAGAAGTGGCGCTGTGGCTCAAGTGGTAGAGCGCTAGCCTTAAGCTGAAGAGCTGAGGGACAGCGCCCAGGCCCAGAGTTCAGGCTCCATGACCGGACCCCCCCCCCAAAAAAAAAACAGAATAAAGAATGAAACCCCAAAGAATCAATAACTTTATTAATGAGAAATGGAGCTAGAGATTTCTCAGAAGCAGCAAAAACAGCTAATAAACACATGAAGAAATGCTCATCTCTGAAAATAAATACAAATTTAAAAAAAATATATTTCTTCCCACCCAAGTAAGGCTGGTCACCATGGAGGGTGGCGGGATGTGGGGGAAGGAGACCGGTACACCTTGGTGGGGGTGTAAGCTAGTGAATCCATGGTGGAAGGTCATTTGGAGATTCCTCAAAGCACAGAGCACAGAACTAGTGGACTACTTACGATCCAGTGGTGCCACTCATGGGCCTTTCTCCAAAGGATCTCACGTCAGGATGAAGACACTTGCACACCCACGTTTCTTGCTGCACTATTCACCAAAGCCCAGATGCCCACAATGGATGAGTAGAACAAGAAACCATGACTCTATATGGAATGGAATGGTACGCATCCATCAGGAAGAATACTACGTGGTTTGCAGGGAAATGAATGGTCCTGGAAAACCTAGTTAAGTGAAATAAGTCAGGCTCAGAGAAACAAAAGGTTGATGTTTTCTCTCATATGTGGAAACCAGATCTAAGTTACAATCACACAGGAAAACATGCATAGGGCTATGCACGTATATACACAAACAACCCATTCCCGCACCCAGCAGGGCAGCTGGGACGGGGAGGGGGGGGGAGGGGGGCCGGAGGGGCAGGTGTCAGTGGAGAGGGGCAGAAAGGTAGGCAGAAACAGTCCTAAAGTTCAACGGATATAGGTGAAGACCGAGTCCACTAACTTTAGGGGATGAGTGGAGTTTGGGGAAATGGGTGAGAATAATGGAAGGGTGACATGGATCCAGATGCATTTCGTAAACTGAAACCCCTTTGCACAACTAAAGATAATTAAAAAGGGAAGGAAAGGAGGAAGAAAGGAAGAGAAAAGGGAGGAGGGAAGGAAGGAAGGAAGGAAGGAAGGAAGGAAGGAAGGAAGGAAGGAAGGAAGGAAGGAAGGAGGGAAGGAAGGAGAGAAGGAAGGAAGGAAGGAGGGAGGGAAGGAGGGAAGAAGGGAAGGAAGGAAGGAAGGAAAGAGGGAAGGAATGAGAGAAGGAAGGGAAGGAGGGAGGGAGGGAAGGAGGGAGGGGGAGAGAGGGCAGACAGGCAAGAGGAGGCCTTCACTCCCAAGCATAGGCAGGAAACCAAGGAGCAGGCAGGGAGGACCCTGTGCACCTGCTGGGGGCTTTGTACACCAGGACCCCCTGGAATACAAAATGTCTGATGAAAGTACATCCGAGAGGGAGGGAGGAGGAGGGGGATGGGAAAGGGGGGGAGGCAGAGAGGGAGGGGAGGGCAGGGGAGGGGGAAGAGAGGCAGAGAGAATGGCTCTGCGATGCAGTATCAAGCAAAATGGACAATTCACACTAAGGAGGCAAAAGGCTGCAGAGGCCTGGAGTCCAGCGTTACCCCTCATCCCTGCCCCCGAGGGCCTGCGTTAGTGTTAAATGCAGTGCTGTAGAGCGCGTTACCTGTTTTCTGTAACATGAGCCTCAGGACATCACCTTCACAGCAACAAGACAATTTTACCTTTAAAGCGTGGCACTGTGGCGTTCTAAGAGGTGTCGCTGGGCTCGTGAACTGGTTAAAAGCGTGGCGTCTGGCTGCATGCTCTGCGTATCTCTCATTTGTGTGTGTGCTGGGAGCCGTTCTCGGTCTTCACCGTGTGGGTTCCAGGGAGGCCGGAGGACCGCCAGCCCCCAGGGGCAGCTCACTGCAACTGCCCCACGGGGTCAGCTCTGAGACAGGACTGTCAGACTGCCTCTGACGGTCTCTGAACACACCTGCGGCCTGGGACTTGCTGTTCGTA